TAATAAAAAACATTAAATAAATGATAACACCACAAAAAAGAACCAATCACGACAAAGTTAAATCAAGAATTCCAAAAAGTGAACAAGACATTGTAATTTTTTTGCCTTATGATTAGCAGAGAAGTGAATAGATTGCATATATTGTGTAAACTCAATCATGAAGGAAATAAAAGTTGTTTCTTTCTTTAAACGTTTGCTTTTATATGAAATTTGGCCTAACAGCGACTGGTAGCGACCAGTGTTTGATGACGTAATCCGTACTGTCCCATTTCTCAATTGTTTTGCACACTTGTAACCTGCACACTCTAACATTTATGTGCACTTCGACTGAATCCACACTTCACAGAGGGGCGTAGGGTGCGCAATGGATGCATTGGGACTGGGCCAAACTTAATAACTAACAAAAGAAAAAGATGGTGTTATGGACTAATTATTTATATCTGTTTTACCTTGACGCTGTCCAGTACTCATATCTTATGATAACTAGTTTCAGCTGTTTTAATCTGTTGCCCTAGACTTCAAGACTCCAGCAATGCATGACCTCTCTTATTTTGATAAGGTAGTTCCTGGGCTGAGAGCCCTGTTATTGGTCAGGTGGTTACAGTTGTCAAAATGATTGGTTGTAAACGTGTTACAGGATGTTATATTATCGGCTGCTCTGCGCTGAGGAGGCAGCCACAACTTGACAGACTTCTCTGATTGACTTCTGCTCTGTTGTTGCTCAGATTAAATCATTTGACGACCATACACGCATTCTTTGTGTGCATTTATTACAACGTGTTTCTGCATTCTTGGTAAATCTTGCCACCACAATGGCAAGACAGCAAGCAGGTGGAACGTGGAGGGAATTCTGAACAAGGAATGCACCACAGTTCCAGACTGCAGAAGAACTGTAAGAATTAACTTTAAAAGGCTGGAGACAGGTGAGAGTAATAATCACAGGGAACAGGTGTGAGTGAGAGGGCAGGTGACAGTGAAACAATGGGTAATAAACTGAACATAGTAAACACACATAAAAATCTATCATAAAGCAAACATCTAAAAACAACAGATTCTGTCAAAAGAAGAAGTTCAACATGCAGCAAATTCAGCTGCAAAATGAAGAAACTGGATGACCCTTAAAGGGACAATATCATGTAAAATCAACTTTTTTGAGTTTTATATCATGTTATAATGTTAAACTTTCATAAAAAACATGCCCAAAGCCTTGCTTTGACTCATTCATGCATGTTTGAGAAATCCTGCAGCGTTTTTAGGCAGCCATGCTGAGGAGCAAAATGACAGGTAGGGACCAGAAACGCCTTTGGGGACCAGGAACGCCCCTGGGACGTGTCTTTTGACTCCTGCAGGCTCTCAGGTGAAACTGAAGGTGAAACTTAAACTGTCTGCTGAGCTCCTAACACTACTTCTCACTCAGTGAAGCTGTTTTCAGATTAAAAATACATTTGAGGAAATGTATTTTCAGATGCCAAGTAAACTGCATCATGCCCCCCCCCCCCCCCGCACCAAAATGGGTGAGACAGAAGCGGAAGGTGGTTCTTAAAGAGACAGAGGCCAATTTCAAGGCATTTAGAAGAGGAAGTGATGAGACAAGTTTATTTTCTATTTAAACATAAAAACATTTTAATAAAAGCTAAAGTTGACACAGATACTTTATTATGGTATAGTATTTAAATATATGCCTGAGAAACACATGATATTGCCCCTTTTAATGAAAAAAGACAATCTATAAACAAACAAAAATTATGAATTAAAAAATCCTAATCAGGTTATTAGAATTAACACCAGTCGGGACCTTAACAAGTCAAACTGTGTATAAATGTTTCATATGCTAGTCTGCAGTTAAATGAAGCAAGAAGTGGCAGCTTGTTGTGAATGAAACATTTGTACAGTTTTAAATGTCCAAACCTCATTTTACTATTCCAATCACTGTTAAAATAACAAATGCTCTGACTTTCTCTGAATCTGTGCTGCTGTTGCTTGACAGTCTCAGCTGATTGCTGCATCAAGGGAAAACGAGCGCTTTTATCAGCTGCCAGGGAAAAAGTCATTAAGGCGCCACCATGATTGGCAGCTGTTGATTAGTGTCGAGGAGCAGCCATCTTAGCCAAGCAGGGCAGCTTCCTCTGTCTTACTTTGTCAGCACTTTCTTCTCACATGTCTTAAACCTGCAGATTTCATTGTCTTTGAGAGTCAGCTGTTGCCGCTGTAGATTATGTCACGACTAATCACTTTCCTGCGTGGGTCAGTGTTTAATCCTACACCCAGCTGATGAAACCGGACATCTGCTAATAAAAAACAAACTTTTATTTGTCGTGCTTCAATATGATTTGTGTTTCTCTTTCCCCATTTTCTTATATGTGCTTCTCTTAAATCATTACTTGTGAAAATAAAACTTGAAATTTAATCATCTTCAAAGATGATTCTTTACATAATTCCCAGCTTAGAGTATATGCTGTCCCAGGAGGTCCTGCCTCCGAGCGGCTACACAAACAACCTATTCTTAGACAGATTTAGACATATCATGAAGCAGGAAGAGATGATGCTGAACTCTGTTCTGATCTCAGGCCCATATGACAACAAATTAGACAAGAGAAAGGAAAATAAAAAGACCTCATTAAGAAAATGTCAGTTTGAAAAACCACCCACACATATCTATTTACCTCTTACGCTCACGTGAAATCTTTTTTTATTGTTAATTTTTCCATGTGTCCACATGACAGCAGATTAAATAAAGAAAAGAGCCTGACCTCATTAGACGAGTATCGGAAAAAAATTCAACTCAAAAGATAAGATCCGTCAGTTCATAAATATTTAAAATCACTGCCTCCTGATTTCTCTTTAATCTCAACCTTGTGTTTTTAAAATGCCAGTGTTCTCTTTTATAAGATGTCTAATCTTTTCCTCGCCTCCTGTTTTATTACAGGAATGCACTTTTTGTATAGAGATGCAAATTCACATTCTACAAAACATCCTGTGAAGTTATAGCTTCATCTGCTTCAACAAGCAGAAAATAAGGTTCTGTACTCTGTTTTTAATGTGTTTTTAAAAATAAATCTGAATGTGTTGGATATAATTTAGAACTGAAGGGAAGTTTGCAAACCACTAAAGGTTGAAAATGACTCCAAAAAAGTATTTATTTCAGTAAAATGCCAAAAAAAAAGATGGTGTTGTGTCTCTACTAGTAGACTTTCTCTGCTCAGAGGGAAATCTTCATTGAAATTAGACATTCTCCTCTTTCTAAACCGCTCTCTCCCGTGCCATATGGCCAATCACAGAGGAGAGATTCTGCGACAGATGGCCAATGGCGATGACCCTTACTCAAAGGAGGGTTAAGCCTGTCGAGGCGACGTACAGATCAAGATAAGACATGTGACAGAAAGGCTGCAGAAAACGGGAGCAGATATAAAAAAAGATCCCTCTGGAGTCTGCTAATCAACTCTTTACGTCTCAGGAAAAAAAAATTAATTAAATTAAAAGTGAAATGTTTTGCTTGTTGAACAACGGGAGGTTAACATTTAAAACATCCTGGGTTTAGCGTTGAATGTGCATCTCCACACTGACGCTCTCATGTAAGCAACTTTAACAGACGTTTTTGATGTTTGACCTGAAATCCAGCATGCGAGAAAAGCAGTGGCGAGATTTGTCCACTAGCGATGTGAAATCTTCTTAGTGTGGCCTGATCTGACAATGTGGCAGGAAGCCTGGAGGAGGATAAGTCTTATGCTATATGCTGAGTTCAACGCAGAGGTTGTTTTTTTTAATGTATTTATTGTTTATGGGTGTTTTAAACATAATAAAATTAACAGGGATAGCAATCAATGCTGTTTGACGGGACTAATAGTAGCTTTGCATTGATTTCAGAGAATTATTTTCTTCATTACTCATGTATTTAGTAAAGTTACAAAAAAATTAAAGCAAGTTATGGGCAGACGTGGGTCAGTGGTACAGGTTTTTGTAAAAACTCTTCCCGTCTGACATCTGCTGTAAATAATAAAAATGTCATGAGAGATTTGGAGGACTTTTTAAATTTATCTATCAGTTAAAGCCCCGGATGATTTGTTATTCCTAAAATGCACTGAACTCGAGAGCTTTGGGAGGAATGACATTGTGTGAGAAGCATGTTGTTGTTTTTTTCAACCCCTTTTTTAATTTAGTCAAATAAAACAAAGCTGCTCTTTGCAATCAAGCCCTGAGCACTTACAAGAAGGGGCTTAAGAGAGATAATTAAAAGGACAGAGCATAAAATGGCAGCTTTGTGAACAGCGTGACAGAAAATGAAAGTGTGATACGGGGTTGTTATGAGCAAAATGATTGAAGGAGGGTGATTAAAAAAAGAGAGTGAAAAGAAAGTGTCATCCAACAAGACTTGGAGAGATTATCTCCAGTATTCACACACACACACACACACACACACACACACACACACACACACACACACACACACACACACA